ATGGGGTAAAAATGGGAGTTCATAACCCACTTGAATCAAAGTGTGAAATATGATATATCAAGAACTATGTAATGTTTTGAACAACCAACAATAAAAAAAAATAAAAAAATAAAAATATATTTTTAGTTGTAGGTGGACACAATGCCTTTTTTAAAAAAATTTTTTTAGTTGTCAGTGGACTTTTATTTTATTTATTTATATGTGGTGCTGAGGATCAAACCCAGTGCTTCACACATGCTAGGCAAGTGCTCTACTACTGAGTCACAACCCCAGCCCAATGCCTTTATTTTTATTTATTTATTTTTATGTGGTGCTGAAGATCGAACCCAGTGCCTCACACACACTAGGTGAGCACTCTACCACTGAGCTACAACCCCAGCCCCGGTTCAGTAGCTTTTATAAATGATTTTGTAAAGAATGTATCCTTTGTCCTGTGTATTTACTGAATTCTCTTTTGCAATACCTTACTGGTCAGCTAGTAAAATAACAGATAATTCCATTTGTGTCTCCCAAAAATATTTCCCAGTTTTTGTGGATTGGCTTTATGTTGGTGTACACCTTCAATACTTAGCCACACCATTCATAACTCTGCCTTGGTCTTCATTTTCTGCTTGTATAGAACGTAAAAATCAGCCACAGATGAAAGATTAGTGTCTTAAATATTTTTGAGTATGTGTTCAGCCCTGAGCAAGTGCCTAGACTTCTATATTCTCTGATATATGCAGGAGCTTTTCAAAGCCCTTATTCTCCTATCTATCTCCTTCCCCAGTCACTTCCTTTTCAGGCTTTTCATTCTCTGCTGATTGTCCCATCTATCATCAGGTGGCTGTCACTGGTATACTGTCAACAAATGTCATACAGGCTACTATGCTAACTCTGTAAGACAGTTCCAAGGTGGACAAAACAAAAACCAAGGCCCTGAGCCCATCCTTGAGGGTCAGGAGACAATTGAAAATATATAATCACAATTTTTGAGATTAAGGTCTATATTGCCCATCTGGCAGCAGAAATTTACCTAAGCAAAGTGGCCCACCATCCCCTAGGTCACCACTAAGTTGGGTTATGGAATAGTAGGGAGATAAATCAAAATGTGGTAGCAATCTCTTACCAAAATTTTGTTGCTTCTTCTTTCAGTATGCATTCCCCTGATTATTTTAAATTTTATTAGATTCTAGAGTTTTGGAACATGTAATTCTTATAGTTTTTGCTTGCTTAGTCATTCTTTTAGTGGAAGGATAGAGTTTTGAAGTTCTCTACTCCATGATGTTATCAATGTTATCTACTTCAACAATGTTATCAATGATAGATATTTTTTGTCACCATTATTATTACTGGGTTTGGATGTTCTAGGTGGGGGTTCCAGGTGGGGAATTGATATAGTTTACATGTGATTATTGATAAATGTAATATCAGAAATTCTTCTGCATTTATTTAGAAATCAAAATTAAATCGAGTGAAAACTGAAATAGAAATATTTCCCCTACTTCTCCCACTAAGTAAACTACCCCTGTATATCATAAAACCAATATTAAACCA